GCCCCATGTCGAATATGCAATTCAAGCCTGGCATCCATGGCTGAAACACGACCTTAATGCACTGGAACAGCCACAACATCGGGCATCTAAGAACGTAATTGGAATGCGCAATCTTTCCTACCAGGAGAGGCTGCAACGATTGGGGGTGTTCAGTGGAAGCTATCGCACATTACGAGGCTACCTGATTATGACATACTTGATTCTGCGAGACCCACATCATGTGTGCCGCCATTTACTGCAACTCAGCAGCAATACAAACCTGAGGGGCCACTCATTAAAACTCGCAGAACGATACACTCGTTTTGAGTGCCGCAGAAATTTCTTTTCCATTCGTGTCTGTCACCGGTGGAATGCTCTCCAAGACTCGGTCGTCTCTGCACCGACACTAACAGTATTTAAAAGACAGCTGGACGATGCACTCATCCACTTACACTTTGTTACTTAACACTACGTCTCCATCCTACGCCTGGAGTTTACCATGGAATTATTTGTTGTTAACTGTGTGTGCTGTGAATCTAAGAGGGCCGCAGGACTGCGGCGAAGCAAACGATAAGTTCTTATTATCATATTTAAAGTATTAACTATTTTACTATCCTTATTATCATTATTGTTATGTTGATGTCCCCACCAACTATCCAACTGGACTTGTAAAGCAACGCTTCTTAACCGGTATAAAGTCATTGTTCATTGTTCAAAAACAATGGTAGGGCAATGCAAACTGTATCTCGTGTGGCCACAATGCTTCGATGCATATCTAGGGTCATGAACTATTGCCCGCTGCAACTGACCAGCAATTTGTTTAAACCAAGATGTAGGCCTGCTAAAACCGTGTTCAAATACATTTGAGATTTTCGAATGGAATGGATTTTCCTCTTTGTGAATGAATTATAAAACATGCTAGAAGATGAGCCACCGCAGTAGTAACGCCTTAAGCAATGGGACAGGCATCAAGGAACAGGATACAAAACTCGTCGAAAACCAGATAACTAGTTGGTGCAGATAACCACGTTGGTTTGGACACGACATTCAGGGTTATTTATCAGGATGATTGCCATCAATTGGCAATGTCCGACGCTGGTGTGTCTTTTACAGGAGCTCCAGCTGTTTCCCTTCACCCGATTTATGATTTCTATTGCCAGACCATCTAAGGGGATTTATAATGCAAATGCGTCTTCTTTCATAGTACATAAATATTCCTTGTAGCACAGTTTTCCATGCGATCTGTTTAATCCTCCACCAAACATATGGATGGATCTGTCTTTGCGTACATCCAGTGATAAAAGAGTTGGAGTTACCAGGCTTTCCATAGAGTGTCAAAGATGTTGCCAACCTGCGTAGGGCCAGACGACACTAACCAGTACTTGATTGCAAACGTCGCCTTCTCATTTTCTTGTTTGGAGTTGTGTGACCTTTGATCGATCCACAACACCGCCACAGACCCGTAGAGCACTAGTGCTCCAAAGTAAAAGGACAGTTACTTGTAAACAAATACGAAGAGAACGAAAGTTCCTCCGAGAAACAATCGGATGTTGGTCTTAGCTCCCAGCACTTCGCTACCTAAACTACATCTTGGATTATGTTAACCATGCCCTTCTACAGGATTTGTGTCATATGGACCCAAGAAGGCGGCGCATAAGTGAGCGACCTTAGTTTACTTCTCTCACGTCTTACATCAACGTGCACTGCACGCCGTGCATTTCTGTATACTTACACTCGATTGTTCTTTTACACTGGCGTTTTTTATCCATGCTTTTATCGCAGTAGAACGCTCAGTAGATGATTCACATATACTTTGGGTTCAGTGTATACACCCCAACCATCCTATAAGACGCGTCAACCAGTGGGTTTCATCCCGTGATAACTCATTGCTCATTGAACTATTAACTATACATTTGTAAGGCTCCACCTAGTTGAGAGTAGAAACTGTGGATCAAAGTGTACCACCTTCCTGGTGAAGTACATCGACATGGGCTGACATGTCATCGCTACATAGAAGATGGACGCATCGTTTCGGCAGGATTAATCTAACAAACTAAGCGATTAACTCATGAACCGCTCCTGTAGCGAATATTCAAGCTAGGTTCAAAAAGTGTATGCAGTTGGTTGCTTATTTCAGACTTCATGTTTACTTTTATACTTGACGCATCGGCGCCATAAATATTGAGGAGACAAGGTAGATTTAAGTCGTCCCGCAGGCTTTACGCACGTACTGTCCAGGGTTTAAGTAGCAAATGCACACGAACACACCTATTGAGTGAACATTGCTAGTTTGAATGCTAGGTACAGCTGCAGAGGCTTGCACACTAGAGAGCAAATAATGTTCGCTGATGTCGATTGAGCAATGGGTGAAGTATCCTACCGTAACAAAGCAGGATAATCCGAAAACTCGAAAGCACCTCCTTACGTTCGTCCAGAGCGCCGTCTGTGGAACAGCCCTGTCCCCTGCACGTCCACAACATACCTGACAGTAAAGGATAAGCCGCGCAAAATCACAGTTAGTTAGCAGTCATGTAGGCTCAGCTACCGTCACCTATGGCTAAGTAGCATAAGTCGCTGGCTCATACAAATAGGTCTCGGGTTCGAATCCGGCAGGATTCGGCGGGTGCGCGCTACTGACGGGTCCCAGTAAGGCTATACGGCCGCCTAGCGCCTTCCTTGAGGCGTAGTAGCTGTCTGCCTGAGTCTTGCTGTGACGATTCTCCACCGATTGCCAATAAATCCTCCTACTACTCATTTAGACAAAGTCCGTTTGACATTGGTGGATGATGGTCGGCGAATAGTAAAGCAAATCAAGTAAATCGCCAGCTGTACGCGGTAACGGCACTTCGCTGCCGCGCGACGACCACTAGTCGCGCGTGGGCTGGGTATACCTCGAGGAAGCCCGCCCCTAAGCGCATTCGAACCGGTGACCTTATGGTTGCAAACCAGACGCGCATACCATCTGGTCACCGGCCGACGGATTCGGATTATCTACAATGCAACTGAAACTAGCCTCATCCACTAAACCACTATAATGTGGTATGACGTTTTGTAGCGAAATGTTATGACAGGAGAGCAAACCCCATCGGGGTGATTTTGCTCAATGGTATATTGCGGAGAAAAAAAGGCAGAAGCATGACATATCTAGCCGGAGCATCAGTTACGAGTGAACAACGTAAAGGTAAAAATGACAATGGGAAATAGTGAACAAGCGCAAATTGCCAGCTTGCTGATTACAGCGTTCCCGTCCGTTATATGCACTATTCAAGGTCCTCCTTTGTGGTTTCCGAGCAAAAATGGAGATGCGTCGGTTTGTTTTTCTTTTTCTGTTGTTTGTATGGGTCGTTTCCATCACGTGATATGGTGTAGTATGACCAGTGCACTGTGGACACATGCTTTGAACACGGCTAACGTGGGGGCTGAAACAACAGCTTCTGAGAGGGTATTCCGCCTGTGACAAACGAGCAACGAGAAGAAGTCTCCTCGACACTCCAACCGACTGTATTGTTCTGCCAATGTGAGATGATGACCTTTCAGTTGGCTGTTTTGACTCAGCTTCAGTAAGTGATGGCAGGGATGATTAGTGTTGTTTAATGTTTGGTAAGCCGTAATTAGGTCACCACGCAAACGGCAATAACTTCCGCTGAAAATGTCAAGCACTCTGAGGTTCTGTTCGTATGACAGGTGGCGCAGCCACTTGACATTTTTGGTCGGCCGACTTTGTGGGAGCTACAAGTCAGTGAGATCCCGCTTTAGCCATAGGTTTCATGCTTGAATTGTATATTCAACATGAGTGCATTTGTAAGCGGGAAGTATTTGGCGGAAAATCGACAGTTCAAATTGCCCGAAAACTCTCCGTAAAAACCCCACGATTTGGATCGCTTCTTGTTTTGGCGATGGGCACATTCGCACGATTTGAACGCAAGTCTGAAGGTATACACCCGATACATTTCGCTGGAGTAGGGATGCAACCTTCCCATCTGTAAGTTTTGGCCAACTTCTACACGCGGTTTCTAGGCAGTATTCAATGTTACCTTTCGACTTTCCCTGAGAGGGCGTCCAACACACGTGGAATTCACAGCGCTTCGTGAGTTGTTTCACGTGGTGATAAAATGTAGCTGACCCGCGTGGCGTTATACGGCCAGCTACATTGTGTAGAGCAAGAGCACAGCGTATACGTCGTATCGTTGAAATGCATATCCCATTCCGATTAGCAGCGCAGCTTCCAAGCCTCAAGAATCGGTCGACAACCAACGTATCAGTGCAGAAGTAAACAGGCAAAACATATTGAAAAAATTCATTTAATACACACTGCCAGTAGCGACCTAGATGCAGGCGTGACTTCCTCCCTGGTAAAAGTAAACTTCAAAAACGGCCTCACTAGCGAAGATTCACATAGGACAATTCATTCAAAAATTAGCGCCGGAAGATGAATAGTGACGATGGTTGGCCCCATTTTCACATCGTTTCCTTGACTACCTTTCGACAGCATTCGTTTTAGCTATGTTAAAAGTTCTTGCATAATGAGTGAAGTTTTACCACTCCCGAATAAGTGAAACATTTTCAAATGACAATCGACTATGAAGACACACCACATACATAGGTTATTCACCCGTTGCTCACAAAGTTGAGGAGCCGCACACCACCCCGCAAACTGATGAACGCGAAACACTTTTACTCCAACTTGTTGACGACATCAGTTTAGATGTTCCAAAGGCGGTGATTCTAGCACTTTAGATGCACACAGCTTCAGTCAGCCGGTCATAAGCAAACAAGCTAGTACCACTTGGTGTTTAACTACGTGGAAGGCCATGCCGTTGCGACGCGCGGACAGCGCACAGCTCACGCGATGTGTAGACGCAATGGAACTCAGGTGGCGCCGGTACCACGTTAACGCGTCACATGGCGCGGTACCCTCGTTGAAGAAGCACATCGTATAAACCGTATAACTTATAGTGTTGCGACACAAATGCATAAGTTAGCTTTGTCGATACGCAGGCAATCATTGCCATGCAACTCACTTCTCCCCATGCATAGTTTCGTATCTGTCCGAAAAGACGGGGTTGTTATTGAAGTTGCGAAACAGTTCTGGGATGAAACTGGCGGAGACTCCCTGAAAAAGTGCATGGTTTGGCGTTACGAAATTTGGGAACAGGGGTGCAGGACATCTAATTTGATATGGCAATACGACGGTTACTGTGTACAAGGCGATGAATACATGCGAGAGTGAGCGGGTTGCATTTGAGCCATTCAATATAGACGGTGAGGCTGACACCATGGTTTCATCCTAGTGACGGCACCAGAGTAGGTATGAGAAATGATTCGCTCGCATCTTTATCACAAATTATACAACAGCTGTACACTAATTAGCGAAGCATCCAATTCGATCAAAACGGGCGTTGGGATAAGGAGAATTACAACAATGCTTTAGGCATACGCGCAACACACTGTTTTACTCACGATATAAATGTACACTAAGCACTCTCAGGGATCGTGTCAGCCTAGAGATGTTCTGTCCCAGAGTTCGCTGTTAATAAATAGCGGAAAAACTCAGTCCATTTGTCGGCTACGGTCAAATGTCAACAAACTTCTCAGAGGTTGATATAATCACATTGCTTGGAGAGCCCCTTATAAACATAGTTTACATAGACTCTTAAGCTGTCGATTGCGAACGACTAAGCGGAATACGCAGTTGTCTCTGTATTTTTCTAATTGGCAAGGGCAAGAATTGGACACTTAGTCCTAAAAAGTATTTCTACGCTTAGGCCGATGTTTACGACCGTTCTCTTACGCTTCCATTCGTCTTCTTGCTTCATCTAACGATGATAGTTGTTTACGTAAAAGTAAGGCCCAAGCAATTCATAATAACTTGGCTTGGTTATCATTCAGTACCTCACCAATACGACTAACAGCGTAGCTCAAAGCAGAGTTTGAAGTACCTACCTTGTGGTTGCATTTCAACAAGCAATCTCTGTTGAGACCTCGGCATACTTTGAAGTAGATGTCAGCCATTTCTATCACTAGGACCGTAGCCAAAATGGGGAGGTTTCGACTTTGCTCCTCTCAACACTAACCCTTCACGACCGGTATCACCGTAGTTTGGTTGAGTCCAAACAAAAAGGAAACCGGTCATACGGTGTTAATGTTGGGAGGAGCAATACCAAAGCCTTGTCAAAAGCGCATTTGTCTTCGTGCATCCTTCAAACTTCCGTCAACCTTCTGAGGAACTGGACCATATTCCCAATCGCTTGCTTGATAAACTGTTATCTGTAGGACGGTTTAGTCTGCCTAGACGATTCTTAAGTTCCTTAAGTTGTGTTTTCGCGTGTTTTCCCACACGCACACCTTGAACAAAAGCGTAAAAACTCTATGCTAGACAAAACCCATTAGTGACAATGTGCGCATTTCTAATTAGTACTCAATAAGCCGTAAGACTTTGGTTCTTTCGTCTTCTTCATATCCTCATGGGAACATAAACATATGTCGTTTCTATTTCCGTCTCCCCTTATATTTCGGCTGGGGACAGCCAGCACAGTGGATCATATAACAACACGTGTTAAGATAGTTGAGAATAATGTGATCGGGTCTCACAGAGACATAATGCGTTCACAGAAGGCATGAGATCCATTTGTGGACCAAGAGTTACGTAGAAATGGATCTCGGACGTTTTGATCGTTAGGATTGCACAAGAAATGGAGCGATTCGGTGTAGATCGCGATCAAAAATGCGTTATGTGTCTGAGTGTATCCTTGTTTGGACTCCTCAGTTAGAGTCCGGTAGCGCTGGAGGTGGAACGCGGCACTTATCGGTTGACGGATGACACATTATTGAGTAGACCATTGAGCAGCGCCAGTAACGCTTGACACAGAAGTTAGAAGTTTGCTGTTTGGTTTTAGAATATGCATTGATTGGAGTGCGACCTACGATTATGAAGGGGGCCAAGGTTGACTCGTAGTTACACTTCGGCTACACATTTTGTAGCGAGAACGACAAGACAGGGGGGTAGACGTTTATTGCACACCGAAAATGGGCACATGAGGGTCTCGCGCGCGCCATCGAATATCGACTAGATTTCCGTCCCACCACGCAACACAGGTACGGATGTTGGAGACGAGCCAGTCCTTTCGCCTCGGGAGCTCTGACTTGGAAGATCCGCCTTCCTGTTTTCGCCTCGATCTCCGCTTCTCTGCACCCGATTTGGATCGACCAGGAGTCGTTCGAGAGCTCTCGACTTGCTTGTTCTGGGCTGTGTCAAACGACTCGGCCTCGGTCCTGTGGGCTGCGCTAGCGGCGTATTTGTCTGATTTATTGCGCTGTCCACATATTCCCGCTCCGTAGTTCCGGGCCCAGGCTCGTCGCTAGCCGTCTTTCGCGATCCGCTCTCAGCTAGCTCCGAAGAGCTCCCAAGAGTCATTCTTGGAAGCGGCCCCTCTACAATTTCACTAGAACCACACCCCCGACCACAACATGGAACTTGATGATACCTGGAAATATCACATGTCATGCTTTGAAGAACTAGAAGTAAAGGTGAATGCGACTGTGGACCACATCTATATTGTCATCTATTTCGTTTTATATAGAAGCAAACTGGTTGTTTACCTATCTACCTGGATAACTCATAAATAGCACTACTCATTGCAACTAGAATGTTGAGTTAAACTACACACTAAACAGACTTGGCTGGAGGATGGATTAAATCCTTTGATTAGATCCTTCGTGCCGGTTGCGCGGGCTGGGACACCGATTTGCTCATTGGTACCAGTTGTATTAATCAACTCTTAGCCGGTCTCGTGCCCAGGTACGAATGGGGGCATCAGTGGTATCGTCGGTTCTACCACAGTTAACAATTGCCAGACACTCGCAGCTGGATCTGACGTGTACAATTAGTGCGCGAACTTCACTTAGGCCACTGGACCGTTTGGTCGTGTCGGGCCCATGTTTCATCCGCTGTTGCGACCCTAAATCCCGTTGCAGCTGTACTATGGCATGAGCTTTGCGCTACTACATGCACGACCTTTTCTACCGAGCTACCAACAAACTGGTGAAAACCAAGCAAATAAGAGAAACGGACATGAAACCGAGGAGTTAGGATAGGAAGACAAATAAAACGGTCATGTTCACATGTAGTTCGTCGCAATCCCCACACAGTCAGCCAGGTTCCTGCAAGTCTGGAAAAACACCAAACAGCCGGTTCAACCTTCTGGGTCTCTTCGGGGGGTACACTTCCAGCACAACGCCTGAGCCATCCCATTAGTAGCGACCTGAGCCTAAGAAGGAACTCGTTCTGGAATGCATAATCTGAGCACTAATGACACCTGACTGACATCATCGGACTTTTGTTGGAGGCATCCATCGGTTGATATAAGCGGAGGCGATAGAATAATGTGCATCTGGGCATTCAGTAGTTTGTAGTTTATCGATTGTCTAGGTAGATAAAAACCAAACGTTGGAAGAAAGCTTACAAATAATAAGGAAGGCGCATATCGAACCCATTAATGTGGCGAAAACAAACTTAAGAGAGAATGTGTCCTACTAACTGACCATTTGACATAGGTAGAATGATGAAATGGTGAGATTCCATCAAGCATCGACGAAGCAAGTCAGTTTGCTTCTGCTCGACTGCTTCTTTGAGGAGGGATCAAAAGGACGGAATATTGATGCAATGAAATTTACTTCAAATAGATCCTAATCAAGCTGAACTTATATATCCCCAAAGTTAATGGATGACATCTCCAACCTTTTATAGCTCAATAACCGACGATCATCCCTAGTGACAACACACCGGTTAAACACCAGCTTTACAGTTAGATCTAAGGCGACGGCCAAATGGAGAGAACTATTACAAAGAGTTTTAATGGAATCACCTTCACTTACTCCCACTAAAAGCCACCTAACCTGTAATACATCCACATCCTGTTAGTAGAGGCTGAGCGTTGTGATGGTGAATCGTTAACGAAACTTAAAACAACCATGCAGACAGTCGCTTACCATAGCCACCGGAATAAAGATACAGATGAACAGTTTGCCCAGCGTTGTGTGTGTGACGTAGTCCCCGTAACCAACGGTGGACAGAGTGACCAGCAGGAAGTAACATGCCTCGAAGTAACTCCAACTGCCGACATGCGGTGTAGCACTCCAAAAGTCTCCAAGGTGCTCAATCTGTACCAGGAAAGGGAAAAAGAGTGTAAGGTCAAATCTCGTGGATAACGCCTACAGGAATGTAAGAAGACGCGTTTGCAAAGAGACCACAAACTGTACAGCTCACATCTACTGTGCTTGACACCGGCGTGAAGCCACGCTTGCCCTAAAGGGTAGAGTCGACATTGGGGGCATCTCTCCAACTCACCTCTACAGCAGTGAAACATGTCCCACTAGGTGTACAAACATAAAGAGGTTAGTTAAGTCCGAGTACCAGTACCTTCGCAGCGTACCTCAAATCTGGTGTGCATACCGTGTGAGCAATGCGTTTCCGATGCCTTGTTAAGAGTGCAGGTGGAGGAAGTAAACCGCTCAGTACACCTATTTCATGGGACCGAACTCCGACAGCCAGTTTATGTTGTAAGGAGGCAAGGTAAGGACAGTTTTTATTGTGGCAAATATCAACATCCTTGTACATCAGCTCTGACCACCAAAATTCCAACAATCTGCGGACCCTCTCCTGCAGGCTGCTTAGTGTACGTTGCTTCTGTATCCACTTTTAGTGTGTGTATATATGCGCGGCTCCCGAGCGTTCTTCTTCCATTGGGGCGTCCGTATAATCCGCTGCTGTGCCATTACGGTTTGAGTTGGTGCTTGTATGCTACTGACACTGGACACAGTTGTATCTGCTTTTGCCCGCCACACACCTCCCCCTTCAAATTGTTCACCTCCGCAGCCTTTTTCTAGAGTCATGGAGACGTTCGGGTTTTCTCCCTGTTGGGAGTGGCTTTCTCTTTCAATTCGTACCACTTCCTCCGTGCATTGGGATGTATCCACCATGAATCTTCCTGTCGAGATAGTTCATACACGAATCAATATCAGAAATCATTTCAGGGTAAAGAATTCTTTTCGGTAAATCTCATCAGACCCAAACTTTTACATAACAGTGATTGTGGATATAGCGTCAACTGGGGCTGGGATTGACTTCTTGACTGTTTGAATGACCAAAAGGATGATATCATTCGATGCCCAGTCGTTGTTCACAAACATTCCATTGCTCGAAACCGTGGATTACGTATGCGAGCTTGCTCGGCAACTGG